GCCATTTTAATGGCGGAATAATAGATGTTTCGGTTTTCAATCCATAATATAGTACTACCATCCTGTGGTTATACTTGCTCATTTTAACTTTTTTATTCTAAAATTGCACCAAAGAAATGTTTATAATCGTCATTTGTTGCTATTTGTCACTTCCGAAGGTAAGATGTAAACAGATGCATTGTGGTTGACAATGACTCTTTAAGACAACGAAGCTGGTAACGAATAGGAACGAAATCTATGTTGCGTCCAATAATATAGCAGTAAATGACACAGACAAAGTTTCTTTGAAAGAACTCAGATGACGATGAGCAGTGTCGGCAAAAATTTTTTTGAATGAAATTGCAATTGTGTTCGTATCAGATGAAATATTCTCCTCAATCCAAATCCTAGCAGGCATTTCTTTACGTTCTCTGGGTAAGATTTTCTTAACAGTTTTCCAGCATAAATTTGGGTAGCCACTATTTTGCTCAATAAGACATTTGTTGTAGCTGTCTTTCTCAACTTTTACTTTATTAGTCACACGATTTCTAAAATATCGGTGCTTTGCCCAGTCTTCCAATTTGTTTCTTTTCCTTGTTTTTTTTTTAAGGTGGCTCAATACAGTTTTTAAAAAAATGGAAAATTCACAATTTAGATGCGTATTTTGGGACAATATTATATTACTTGTTGACAAACAAAAAGTACCTTACTTATATAAAACAACAGCTAAAGAGTTTGAATTTTTGCACAAAAGTCACGCAACTGCCGTTGTTATGGCAACAATGACGTTCCAAGATGGCGGATATTTTCGTATTAAAGTAATTTGACTCGTAAGCGACATCGTGACCAACAAATTTTATTTTAAAAAATGATTTCTGTTATAAATTATTTTGACAATTTAGAAAAAATTCTGTGGAGTCAAAAAAAATATTATGAATAATTCATTTTACGTAATTTTAAAAATTTCGGTTGCACAGAATTTACATAAACGTCATTGTTGCCATAGCAACGCCAGTTGCGTATCTTTTGTGCAAAAATTCAAACTCTTTAGATGTTGGTTTACATAAATAAGATGCTTTTTGTTTTTGAATAACTAATACGTGTCCAAAAAATACGCACCTAAATCACGATTTTTTTATTTAAAAAAAAAATGAATTGAGCCACCTTTACATATAGCTGTTGCGCTGACGAATGTCATGTTTAATATTTTTATTAAGCCATGGACAATTGTCAAATTCCCTCGCACGTTTTGTTTTATTGGTGCATACCGATTAGCGACAGAGACAAGTGCAGATTTAAAAGTTTACCATAGGTTGTTTACAAATTTCCCCACTGAGAATTCGCTCAGTATCTCTCAGTACGTCAAAAAGCTTTATGATCGTAATTAGCTTTATGATCGTAAAATCTTAATTAATGATAATTAATCTATAAATACCTTCTCAAAATAATGTTATTATTATTGCTATCGCATGCTATTATAATTAGCGAATGCTGACAAGCATTTCGAACATGATTATGGACTCGCATTTTGCAAATAGGCGAGAATTTGATTAGAAATATTTAACAATTTATTATTGAATGTGGTTGACCATGATATGAAGAATTATTATGTATAAATCGAAGCTGAAGGCTGAGGTTGATAACTCAAACTGAATGCTTAATCATTTTTATATATTGCAAGAAACTGAATTCAATAATTGTTTTGTTAATATTTATTTGAAAGATGAAAAAGACAAATCGCATCTGTGGGTTCAATTTGTCACATATTATTTTGATCATATTTGGTTAGCTATTGAGTTGATTTGACGATATCACATTTGGCTATTAGCCAATCGGAAACCATGATTTTTTAAAAATATAAATAATAGTAAATAAGATATTAAGGGATCAAAGAAGAAGGCACTTTTCAGTGAGATGTTTAACTTAATACCAAAGTGTAGCTGTTTGACAATAGACAACTTGCACGTTAGACTATTTTTTTTATTTAGGCCAAAAAAAGTAAATTCCCGTAAAGAACTTATTAAGTAAAATTGCAAAATTTGGTTGCGAAATGTTGTAAAATGTAAAAACTATAGCCTTGCGAAGTTTGCATATTTTCAGTATATTTGTATTACGTGCCGAAATTGTTACAATTTTTGAGCCGAAAATGGTAACAATTACCGCACGTAATATAAATATACTGAAAATATGCAAACTTCGCAAGGCTATATTTTCTGCATTTTCCAACATTTCGCAACCAAATTTTGCAATTTTATTAATTTCATGATTTTCTTTTTAACTGTTGTGTTTTATTCCCTTCTCTTCACTTAGATTAAAATTTAGTCTAACATGCAAGTTGTCCATTATATATCAGTGTTTCTTCATGTATAATACCTCGTCTTCCAGAGGCTTAGAGCTATCTTTCGGTGTAAAGATATTCCGCTATGTTTGCCAAAAACCAAAACGATAGCGTTTGAAGGGTTTGACTGCCAAGAAACGTTCTCTGGGATGATGATTGAAAATTCCAGGTATAAGGCGATTGAAAATCCCAGGTATAAGGCGATTGAAAATCCCAGGTATAAGCGAGCGATTGAAAATCCCATGCAGCATGGTTTCCGTTATTGTCTTAAGAGCGATATTTTTAACAACGTTATAAAAAAACGCTACCCTAGAGTATATACTTTTCAGCCTATCCGGTGAGGACACACTCAGAGTAAGATCAGAAACAGCTCTAATATATGTTATAATACATGTTACAGGATAACGCAACTGCTACCATAAAGGAACCAGTCCCTCAGCAATTTGTTCGTTTGCTGATAGGAAAAAATGGCAGTGATAATTTCCGAGGGATGGAGAAAGAATGTAGTGTGAAAATTACCTGGCCAAAATTCAGTGGAGGAGAAAAACATGTGATTTTTGACGTTAAAGGTTTGAGGTCTAATTGTGAGCGCGCAAGAGAGATGCTAAGAGCAAATCTGGTAAATATATTCATGTAGTAATTATACGTAGCATGCATGCAGAGTTGAAATACTACACATGTATCATGGAAATGCATGAAAAACTGAGTCATGGAAAATGACGAGTTATGAAACTATACAAATAATTGTTGAGAGTCAATCACGAGCATGCTTGGTTTCTTCGTTCAGATCAATTGGATTATAAGCCTATATGATTGTTTCATTAGTTGTTGTTTATATTTAGCCTGGGACTAAAGCGTTCTAGCCGTCGTTCTTCTTGAGCATGCATCTACTATAGCAGAAAGTTGACAATCCCCCCATAGAAAAAGATACTTCTGTATAGTAAATTGCTTTGTTTTCAATAGGTGTCGTAAAATTTCCACACCATTTATCCTTGTTTGTCACCTGGTAAAGCGGCGAATAATTTAGTTAAAAACGATATGTTTAGAATTTTCTATAAGACAGTAAACTTGCATTAATTACCTGGGTTAATCTATAATTTGCCTGGTTATTTCTATATTTCTGAACAGATTTAAATAAGGTTTGGGATTTTATACATGAAAATCCTGGTTGTATATCCATTTAGTAGTGTCTGCCCGCGGTTGATTTAGACAAAGTTTCTTAGTTAATAAAATATAAAAAAATTGAGTGCAATAATTACTTTTGTAAGAGAAATCAACGTGGCAGCAAATCTTGCATGGCAACGTAAATACAATTTTTCAACGACTTTCTGCGCACTTCATGTTGAGAATAGTTGACTCACTAAATGCATTTTTAGATAATGGCGATCAAATACTGTTTATTGCCTGCAATCATTGGCAGATTTTTTGTGAAAACGCGGCATGCACTGCAAAATCATCCCCGAGTATTTTGACTCAAAAATGTGAAACCAGGTGAAAATGAATAAAGCAACCAGAAAATTTTACCATGTTGATTTAACCGAAATGGTACTATTTTGATGTTGCCACGCCGATTTATAAAAGAATGGAAGATCAGGAGACAATGTGGGCGCTGTCGTTGTTTTCTATACTATTTGGATCCGGGTTTTTTTTAGAAAAAGTGGGAAGATAATGAAGATAAATCTGTTTCATCAATGGCCTCTGGATCTCAAACACATTCACAGGTAATACTATAATCATGCATGCATGAAAAACACAGAACCATTGCCATTTACTGATGAAATATGTGTACTTAATTTCTATCTCCTCAAAATCCATCGTCGTCGCGCATACATGCTATTAATATATAACCCTGGTTAGGAGGTGCGGAAAAGAGGAGCGATTATTTTATCGATGCGAACGAATTACTTGCATGGTATAAATGAAAGTAATTCTGCTCGCCAACTTCTGATAACATTCACACCATGAATTAAACACGCGACTCTTTTAATTATTTTGATTTTTTTTATATAGAGTTATATAATCATTATGATCATGAATAGTCATAACTTATGTAACCTTAGGATGGATGAAACAAAGCTAATATTACATTAAGTATAGTTCGACAGCAAAAACTTGCGAACCTGCACCTTATTCTCGCATTTTGCGATTAACAACATCGCGTAATATAATTTACTGTTATACAGTTGAAGCCATATTTCAATGTGATATGTAAATATGGAGTTGATGACCATGCTAACCATGATTGTATTTGTGTGTTTTTGGATGGCTGAAAATAGTTTTTTATGTATTTTATACTTATCTATATTTATATTCTTATTTGACTGCATATAGTTGCAATATCTCTGTGTTTACTTCTTAGTTTAATAGAGATATGTATTTATATTTAATAGAAGAATACTTTGTACAAACGCTTTATAAAGATTGAACCTCGCTGTTCGAATGTCTGACCTAATCTAGTATGATACCAAGTTCACCCTCCATATATGGTGTTGTTTACTTGTTCAGAATATGAATAAATTATAAACATTAACTTTAACTATTTATCTATTATATCACTCCTTCTTCTTTAAAAGTTCATTTATAAGTTTAATGTCCAACTTAAAGGTTGTCCATAACGTTCTGGGATTCTTCTTTCACGTCCGGACCTTCTGGTTGGAACTACTGGGAGTTGATCTTGGTTATCTCAAGTTTCATTTTGCCCTTGATCATTGTTGACCGTTGTTCTTTCATCATCGGTATCCGATTCATACTGTTTAGGGATACGTTTGAAATGCGATACGTTCCTTGTGATCGTGTGTCCGCTTCTGCTTCGTGCAGTGACTTTCGACTTGTTTCTGGTTGTAACTGTATATGGCGTAGTATTGAATCTCGATGTTAACTTGTTCTGTCGTTCTTGTCTGACTAGTACACAATCACCTATACGAATGTCACTCGTCTTCACATTTCGTCTGTGGTCTGCGTATTCTTTGTTGTATTGCTGTTTCTTGCTCTCGTTTGCCCGAGCTTGCTTGTGTTTGTTTACTACGTTTCGTTTCTTTAAAACTGGTAATTTACCCTTGACTGTTCGATTAAAGAGTAGTTCTGATGGTGCTACTCCTGTCGATGTGTGTGGTGCTGTTCGGTATTGTAACAGGAATCGACTTAGTTCTTGCTGCCAAGGTCGCCCTTGTACATGCGCTGTCTTTAAGGCTTTACCAAGAGGTTGCATGAACCTTTCGGCCTCCGCATTTCCTTGCGGCCAGTATGGTGTTGAGAACTCTGGTTTGATACCAAGTGTCTCGTGATACCTCCGATATTCTTCTCCGTTAAATGGTGGACCATTGTCCGATTTGACAATACTTGGTATGCCATGTGTAGC